AATGAGAGTAATGTCATTCTTTTTTGTTGATGGCTATTGACATGGATTAAATTAACCCCGGGAAGAAACAAGTATAAATTGTGCACAACTCTTTTGCAGATAAAGCGCATTTTCTTTAACCGAAATAGCTTTTGTTTTGACATCACCAATGGATAAATTTCTTGCAGACGTCTCAATCGCCCTTTGTGAGTAAACAGCACCTCAGGAAATAATTCGTGGGGGGCCCCCCATTTAGATAGCGAAATTTGATGGCCATCGGACACACCTTCAAGGTATAGGCTACCTCTGGGGCTACCTACTGCAATAAATTCCAAGACTCTAGGACCATTCCCCTAGAAGTAGTTCGAAACGGCAGAAGTGGGTCGGGACGAACGGACGGACGGACGGACAAAACGCAAATAATAGCACATTTTTTTTAATTCTTACAAAATGCGCTAAAAAACAATTTATGACACATTGACACCGTCACACCGATACTAGTGGTCTCACAAAAAAAAGATAGATAAGTTTTTTGTAGGTAATTTAATCAGGAACAAAATCATACTGAACCATTTGTATCCCCAAACCCGTGGCTATGGAGATAATTGCAAAAACCATAAAGTCACCTTTGCCTTTGTTTAAACAAATGTTCCGGTCGTAGTTGGAGGATTATTTTTCTACCACATATTATTTACATCCAAATGTACCTAGGGTTTAAAACATAAATAAAATAAATTAATTAATTAATTACAATATATCTCCTTATTGACTTACTTTTGGGTCTCTGACACCCATAATTAGAAAACTATGAAAGATTTTTAATTTTTGCATTCAAAAACACAATAGTTATTTGTACAACTAGTTTTGAAAGTGATACTTTGTTTCATGAATTTGCAGTTTGATTAATGAAGCCGAAGCTCATGTTAATCAAGCGAATTCATGAAAAAAAGACACTTTCAACACGTGTTGTGCACGAAATTTTTTGGCATAGTGATCCTTAATAACCCATAATTCCATAATATCATTGGCATTCGCCATTTTCTGTCAGTCAACAATTGTGCTATTGGTCATAGACAGGACGAAACGCCATGGAAACGCATAGCAATAATCATGAAAAAAGTACCACATTCCATACGATTTTTCGTTAAAAAAAGTCCGGTAATTTGATAACTATGCAAAAAAAAACATTTTATGTTTTTTTGTTATATTCCAAGTGCCAAAAAAATGTTGGGAACCATTTATTGAAGACATTCTGCAGCTCTGGTTTCTTGATAAAACTGTTCAGCTCTGAATAGTTACAAATAGATCCTCAGGGGTTTTAAAAATTCCACTAAGATTTCGTCCGGGGAAACATAATTATAACTAGAGATGATTACCATGCAGCGGATTGGAGTTTTGGCCGAGTCTCAGTAGTTCTGAAGCTTTCCGTAATCGACTTTTATGGTAAACCTTGTAATTAAAGATAAATGAGTTTTAATATACAGGGTGTTCCTTCGGGTGTTCCCTAATGTGAGGTCAATTCGGAAGGGGCTAATTCGGGTTACCGCAAATTACCAATCATTAGAATTTTTTGCTGTAAAATATTTAGTAAACTATACAGAGTGTTCCTAAAATATGATGCGCATAAGGAAGGGGATAATACATTGGCTTATTTTATTACTAAAAGTTCATATAAACATATATCCGCAGACCGTAAACGCTTCGTTACCTATCCACAGGGTTATATTTTCACGATTTTTTATATTCCCTGCAGTTATTGAGATATTTAGCTCATATTTTGAATATAAGTTACGCTGGAGGACTTACACCTTTGGTCATGTCAATGGTAGTAAGAATCTACAGGGTGATCTTTTTTTCAGGCGTCATGTTCCATTTTCTACCCCTGAACAATTTTTCGATGCGCCACTTGTAGATCGTAAAATAAAAAAAATAATTTTTTGATTTGTTTAAAGTCCATTTTCTGTAGTTAGCTAAATAAAAATTATTGTCAGAACTCCTTTCAGACTTACGAAGGACTCTAGATATATGTGAGGGATCTCCAGAACATTTTGTAAATGAGGGTCTAATTTTACATTTAATCAAGAAAATTGTGTTGGGTCCCAAGAAATTTAGCTGTCACTATTCAATAACTACTTTAGTATTAAATATCACATTATTTTATTTTATGTGGTAATAGTTGGTCCTATTATTCTTAATTAAGTACTCGGAGTTACATAGTATTAATTTAATAGTAAATATCAGAAAAACAAATAATATGTGTAACGATTCTCCGTTACAGAGCATTTTATTGTTTGCGGTTTATTACTTGCCGAAAAACCGCCGTAACTCATTGAAGCTACTTAATAGATGGCTCCACCTATTGATGGAATTTAACCACGCAATTTACCGCGCAGAATTGTCGGCGCCTTGATTTTTGGGTATTGATTGTCATGTGTTTTCTTTTGCACATCGCATCGCTGTAGACGTCCATTAAAAAATTGCCATGTTCTGAATATCTTGATCTCTGGCGATTGAATTCTCTATTTAGGAATTTCAACGTGATGCGTTTGGACGGGATACACCTGTGGGCCCAGTGAGGTTTTCATAATATGCGTTTTACCCTTTAGATGTTGCATTTCGTTTATTTATCATGTACTTTCTTTATGTATAACATGTGTTCCGCCTGTAATTTGTCGTACTGTAATTTCCATCGACAATCGTTGCTACATCTACGATTAGCGCTATTATCACAGAGGTAAGAAAATTTTATCATTTTATTGCAAGGAAGATGGGTTACTTTTGATTTCTTTTAAGGTTTAAGTAATACTAGTAGTACACCACGGTACCACTAAGTGCGTGGATTTTCTTTTGGGGTACGGGGTCGGACTCGCTACCGCTGAGCTATCTACAGCGACCGAGTTTTATTCAAGGTAAGATTGTTACGTTTACGTACTTATACGAAACAATTATTGATTTTATTCATTTCGCTTTGGCGAACCTTTTGTAATTTAGATCAGTCAATTAATTATTACTAACCGATCATTCTCGATTGGGAGTATGCTGTCTAATTGTCGAGACAATTTCATTTTGCAATTTGCTATTGAGAATAAACCAGTACTTCTTTTAGTATCTTAATTGATTTGACTGTTATTACTACCCTCGTATCTTCTCAATTTCATACAGGGAGAGTTAAGGTAAAAATTGAGTGACGCTCAACCCCAAACGGCATAGACGTAAGGGTCCTCCGGTAAATTGGATATATTTTCTGAGGTAAATAATTCCTCAGGACAGTCTCCTATTATTATTTTATTACCAAATTTTCGAGCAACAAGAGAATTAACTGCATCGCACCTCAATCGAAACAATTTTTTAGGTCTAATAACTACCTCAGGCTGCTCCGAATTTTATTATAACTTGGAATGGTACAACATAGTATTTCAGTTTATGAGTAGAAACTGCAGTCATTTATTGAATAATACCGCGGGTATTGTATGCTATCCTGTTTAATTAAATTCTAATTTTATAACTATTATTTTGTTACTTACCTCGAATACTTGACTAAGGTCCAAATCAAACCTCACGTCCGTAGCGGTTATCCCAAAACATGCCGAAATCGATACTTACCTATGGAAACTCCATATACGTAAAGGTTTCGTTTTTATATTACAAGCAGCTCTGATAAAATTACCTTATAAAGAAAGATATTTTCAAATTTCCTTACGTCTAAACGTGTAGCTTTTTAGCAAACCGAACCTGCTTATGAACGATACCCTTATCAAACTTCTTCCTATTCTTTCGTTTTCTTATTTTTAGCGGCAAATATAACCAAATCATTTGGCTCTGTGTCGAGTACATAAAATAAAACATGAAATTATACCGTTTTTCCCTTTGCCAAATCGTTATCTTTCCCGAATACGCGTGCCAAGGGTTTTAACTGCAACATTTCCTCAAGTGCTAATGAAATTTATCCCGCCTTTCGCGCCTTTACATACAAATTGGTTTATTAGCTTCTTTGATAATACAGATCCTGCGAAATAATAAGAAACAGAAACGTCTCATCACGGCTTTCACACGAAGAGCGTATATACACAGCATCTTGCGGAGTGTTCCCTTGAAGAAACCTTTATAATCTAATTAGATAATTTGATTACACTGTCACAGGAAAAATATGTAAGAGTAAAAAACTATTTATTTTACTTGTAATATAGTTGCGAAATATAAAATTGTACATTTTACAGTTTGCCAATTTTGGAAATGAAAACGAAGTAACCATACAAACTAAATGCAATACTTAGACAACAAGCTATTGTATCTCTACGACATGTAGCATAAAGCAAATCTACAATTATTTCTAGTATTTATGATATTGTTCTTTACTTAAAGATAAGTACAACCATTACCTATCAAATTTTAATTTTGGAGACGCTATTTGTTCGAGTCCTCTCTGTAATATGCTACGTTGGGGCCAAATACTTGTAAATGAATCTCTTGTACTACAAGGAATTCGTCAGTCAGTGGAAGCCGCTGTTGATATTCGATATTTACTAGGGAAAGGCAAAACACTGAATTGTACGAAATGACATTGTCGATACTATTCGATCGCACCACATCTAAAAACCTCTTTACCCATGACCAAATACCTTCGACATGTTATTGTATCGCGAGTAATCTGATCTTCCGTATGTAGTGTACGTGTTAGCCGCAACTCCCTACATGTGAATGCAAATAAAACTACAATTTAGAAGTGGGAACCAGACACGAGAAGAAATGGTCCTGGGTACGTCACACTCGCATTACCAAAAACGCACACTGTATCGGCAAAAACGTGAACTTGGCCAGCCACGGCACCTGCCTAGGAATAGGAATTTTGTTGTACACATAAAGCACACAAAGTACTTTTTTAAGGATTTTTGGCCCTTATTTTCAGTATGATGTCTGATATTTTTATATATTTAATTATGGCAGTTTACTTAGAAAATAAAATCGTCTAATCGAAGACTGTGTGACCGAACTACATGTTAAAAATTACAAGAAGAGTAATGTCGAAGTGAAAATGATTTATTCGTCTAGCAAGTTTAGTGCAAACCATAATTACGTACTATTTAAGTACTGTATTAATCTAATTGAGTTATAAAATCATATAACACAAACGGAAGATCTTTTGATTTCACTCTAACTGATAACAGTATCAGAGGTGATCTCTGCTAACTTTACAATATAAAATATCAGTCTAACGTTTATTGTTAACTAATAACACATTGTCAATACATTGAAGCACAAAAAATTACAGGTACCATCACGTAATACTCGATAACATTCTAGCAGACATATTATGACTAGTTTAATACTACTGATTACAGATACATTATGTAGGTACGCGTCAGTCACAAAAGCTATTCTAAAGTTTATCAGCTTCAAAGTCCGTTGAAAATCGACCAATGAGATATTTGCTCTTATTATGAAATGCCACCAAGCACCCCCAAAGATTTTGATCTCAGAGCTGAAACAACTACTTGAGAGGTCAAACGTGAAAGATGCACGAGATATTCAACCCCTTATTCTGTCGATATTTATTTCTTTTTCGCTTTGAAACCGATAATATTTGTATTATAGCCGTTGTCGTTAGGAAGCATATAAAAATAGTTCGGGGGCGAAGTTCACTTTGTACACATATTTTTTATCTGCTTATAGGATTTTCAAAAGAATCTATATATACACAACACAGCACAGGGCAAGTTTTATTGTAGAAGGAGAGACAGTGCGATCAAAACAGACGTGAGAATGATACCACTTCGAACATACTCGACGGCAGCGGCGCTTGAGTATTCTTCTTCTAACTGCAGCGAATCGGGTTGATCCTCTATATCTGAAACAAAAAACCTTTTTACCCCCTATAATCTAAAGGAGCACTTCAATTTACGTGGCTACATACCCTCTTTAATTGGTAATGCAACACACAAACAAAAATACTTTAATTAAAGTAATTGTACGCCAACTATCGTGTGAGCAATAAATAATATAGACATACGCGATCTCTCATTGCGCTCTGGACAACGATGCTACAATTCACTGTCGAAAGGTATTAAGAAGTGAAACTTAATTAAATTTATCGATTCATATTTAATCCAGGAGGAACTAGGCATTAATTTTCCTGCCGATTTGTTGTGCTCAAAGTGTTCTCATCAAGAGGACAAGTCTCGAGATGTAATTCGATGTTAATTACCTCACTTTAATTAGGTTCTAAAATGTGTTGTTTGAGCAATATGTTAACTGATATAAAAAAAGTTTTCACGATTCTGTTTATACCCCAAACCTACATTTAAAAATTTAATTAAAGCTATTTGTGAGAAACATAATGTACAACCCGAGTTAAAAATACAAACCTCGCTCGCGTAAATTATTTTATAAACGAAGGAAAATTAAACAAGAGAAGGAGGGGAAATGGATTAATCTATAAAATGTTCCTATAATTTATGTACTCACTGCAAGTGTGAATAAAAAATTGATCCATCTGAAGCAGACGTGTTAGCAATACAGAACCTTACGGAAACAGGGAATTAAAGAGCGGCGAGAAGATTAAAGCATTTTTAATATAGATAAATTTCAGTAATTTTGTCCCAAACACAATCTGCTCATTTGGTACTTGACGTTGGAAAAGCCTTTTGTTTTAATTCGCGATCATATTTCAAATAAATTCTGGGATAAGTTTCAACATCTATAATACTTCTTCGGCTATACATTATAATCAAAGAAATGGACGTGCGGTTCATGGAAAGTAATTTGCATTGCTAGATTTTCTTATAAACTTTTGAATTTTACGTGTACATTAACACGAATAATTAATTTCAGAAGGCAGAGTTATAATCTTAATTAAAAAAAATAAGTTTCCTACAATGAATGCGCCCATTCGTGGAATTTAATTAAGTTAGCACCCTTACAAATACTTTTAAAACCATACAGGACCTTTAGCTATTTGGATAAGCCATAAAAAATTCGTCGCTCACGTTTTACAAAATATGTTTCCCATCGAATCTTAACCTGCACAAAGCAGTGTTTGTCAATCTGAAAATGTCGCTTTTTGCAAGCAAGTATTTAGGATATAAATTATATCCCCATGCAGCATGCGTAATGTGTATTTAGAGGTATGCATCGTTCTGATGGGGCTTTTGAAAAATTATTAAACAATTCGATCTCTGATATTGTACAGATAGATTAACAAAGCATTTTTGGCCATTTCATTTATTACGAAATTTAATACTCTGCAAATTTTAATTAAACGTTTTCTTAACGTCTACGACTGTTGGAGCTGTTATTTGCAAATAAAACTCAAACAATCCTCATATTTCACGTCGTACTATTTTAATTAATTACCACACCAACATCAAACCTTTGGTGAAATACCACTATACTGCTGCCTGATTTAATAAAATTTACAAAAAAAACTGATATTTCCGTTTTAAACTTATTATTATATTATTATTATTATTATACGTCAACTGACAACCAACCATAAACACAGGCAGAGTGCGTTCCATTTTTCAAAAAGGAGAAATGCACCATTACTTCACTTTTTGTTTGTACTGTCTTCATCGTTGTTATTAAAACTTACCATGGATTTTTCAAATATCGAAGTGGGGTTTACCCAAAAGTATGGATAGATAGAGAAGGCAACGAGAGAGAAGAATTTAGCGAAATATTACAAAACCCAACCAAATTATACCATACCCTCGGCAATATATTCAAAGGTAGAAAGTAATAAGTAGGAAAAAAACAATGTAGCAGACGATTTTTAGGATAATACTAACATATGGAAGCAAGAGCCGGGTATTATCTACCACAGCAAAAAAAATGCAACAATTTACCGAGCACGAAATATTTACGAAAAGTGAGCAGAACTCATAGGATACGGCATGAAAGTTGATTTGAATTTTGCGCCAAGTGAGTGCACATCATGGCTGCCTCCATGTAGGTGCCATTTGTCAATTCAGAATTAGCAGTCCATCTTAATTTATAAGTTCGTACACCTACATGGAGGCCGCCATGATGTGCACTCACTTGGCGCGAAGTTCAAATCAACTAATAAACAAGCATTAACCTCACGTCCAGCCTCACGTTTTCTAAATAAATTACTGTGACACATGTCATTTTCCAAGGCTGCAATAGTCTCAAAACTTGAGCACTAGGAAAATTCCCCTAGAAAATAACTAAAACGTGCACATCATGGCCGCGCCCATGCTAGGGCCATTTCTACCTCTGTGCAACTGTTTGATCAGCAGTCGATATTAATTTATAAATTCGTGCATGGAGTGCTCCTCCGTCCACATCGAATAAAATACCATTTTCAGTGCCAGTGCTGACACGATCAGAACGCATTAGGAAGCCAGTAAACAAATTTTTGGTGGAAATAAACACATTATTATTATTATTATTATTAAAATGAACTTATGAATATCTTAGGGCCGTGCGGTACCGACTTTGTAGTTCAATGGTAGAGCGTGGGGCTATAAAGCCGGAGGTCGGGTGCTCGAACCCGGGCTGAGGTAAGAATTTTTCATCTGTGACAGAGATGAGAATTTCCTTAGACCAGTTTCGAGCATTCTACCGGCTGCTCCGAATTGAGTTTTCCTGCAGTTTTCCTAGTTCGTAAGGTAAATACCAGAGTAGTATAGAACAACTTAAGACTTTCTGCAGAGGCACCTCTAAAAAGCATTATGCGGGTCACTCTGTAATAGGGTAGATGACAAATTTTTAAAAACCAGTTATAACTGTTCGTATACCTCTACTATAACTTTAAAATACGATATTTCAGCAAAATAAATCTTATTATTGCAAATTTATGTAATTTAAATTGTAGATTTTTATTCTAGCGCCAAAACGCTGTTTTGTGTCATGGCGGTGTCTGTGACGTCACAGTCCTGACAATTATAACCACAAAACTCCAGCGTAAATAGTTTAAAAGGTTTCGTGATGAATTATAACTACCGTAGCCCTACCATGGAGTACACTTTGTCGTGGTGTAGGGCTCAGTAGTCACATTTTTCTCTGGCACAGCTAAGTATCCCAGGCGGGTAAATCTGGTTCCAAGGATGCTGTATCATTCAAATGCTTCATGGAGTAGAGAAATCCAAAAGGATTTTCGACGATTGCTCATTAAACGTAACATAGAAGACTATATTGACATGAGTAGCACATTTTTCACGTACGTTAACTCCTGAGGCGTGCGGTAGACGACAATTTGGACAATTTCCGAATCCGATTGAGCCATTTGCCGATAGAGTTTCCAATAATCGGACTAGATCATGACTTGTTGAACGTGATAAAGGACTTTTATCGACACTAGTACTCCTTTGGACTCTGAGGGGTTGTAAAAGTAGCTTGATCAGGTAGGGCAAAGAAAGTAATTGTTTTCTTCGTCGACAACTAAGGAAACTGCATACAGCTTTACGTGAACCATATATTGCGGGAAAATTTTGACTAACTGTGAATAAGTTGCCAGAGTCTTCTGTTCGACTGCACCTAATGTAAGGTTCCATAAGAGTGCCCGCCATAAAAACTGTTTTTCCAAAAAAATTTGCTTTAAGAACTACTTTATAAATTTAGACCTTTATCTGCAAAATGTTCGTAACAGAAAACTCTTAAAGTGAACATAGCTTACTGAATCATCTCCATATGATAGCTTCGATGACCTAAAAGCAAATCTAAACTTAACTTAAAAACCTACAAGACGTATGGCAGTTTTCTGATGAACAAAAATCTGTGTTTGATGCAAGAAATATTCCCAACATTATTTCGTCACTGTTTGGCAGATTTACTGCTATCAGCATTCGTATACCCACCTTCCATTCTTATCTGGTTTTATAAACTAAACTTTAGGATAAAATGGAACAAGCACTAAATTAAAAAAACGTAGACAAACTCTACAAACGCACAGAGGATTAGGATAATGACGTTACGCGCTCTGATTGGCGTTTGATATCACGTGACGAATGTCGTTATTTTTTAATTTTAGTTTTACTAAAATATAATAGCTTCACGTGTACATTACCAAAGAAAGTTATTTTGCGATACCCTGACACCTTACTCTATTCTATGAAACAAAAATTTGTTTATTCTTTTTCCACTGTCATGTACCCTGGGTGCAAGCCTGTTGAGGGCACAGAAGAGAAGGATAATAAATCATCAAAGGTACACTATGATGCAGAGGTGGTCGCATCAGGCGGCACCGTATAGGGGCGGCAAAAGCAGTGATTTTTGTTACCACAGAGTATTGGTAAAAGTAGAAGCGGCACGTTTTCACAAAAGACCGTTCTACGTGTTGATTGTACTGAATATAAAGGCCCTACCCAATTTATATTTAAAGGTCTTTAAGCCAATAAAGAAGATGTGTATAATTGTTATTCCGTTAATAAAATTGACGTTCTTGAAACACCTTAAACACCACACGAAGGCTTGTGTTTTTTTGGGAGAAATTCTAAATAGGTACCTAAGGTAATTCGTAAGTGAATATATGTACACAAATTATACGGGCGGTTCGCGTACAACTGACGTAAATTTCATTTCTGCTTTTCCTATTTTTAATAGGCTGCCTTTGAAGACAAAAATAGTAAGTTTTTTCCGTTGAACTTTGTTTACTGGTTCGGTGCAAGTTGTTGTGCAATTAATTTATGCCTCTCATAACTATATAACTCGTCAGCTTACTATATCTTAATTGTTAGGTAGATTTTCAATTTTCTTGGAGAGAAACAAAGAATGTACAATGTTTATGTAAGAACTAATTACATAAATAACATTAAAATTTAGAAAAATTTCTTTGTGTTGTAAATTAAACTTAAATGGGTAAGGCGTTTCCTTGATATGTGCTTTGTG